ACTGAAGATTGCAACTAATTTTGTGTAAAAGAAAGAAAGAAAGAAAGAGACAGCTTAATTGTTTAGGAATACATCTCATGGATAACAGGCTATATTTAATTGATGGAACACATAGTATAATATGTTCAATAATAGCCATTATACCAAAACTTAGGACTTTAGCAAACTAACTATTAGCCACCTCTGCTAATTCATCCTTTGAAAATTCAGTGAACTTAATAAATAATTCCTTAAAACTTGTTATATGATCTATTGCACTAGAATCTACTATCCATAGGTTTTTAAAAGTAGTTATACTACTAAGAGCCTTAATGAGTTTAGTACCTAGTAAAGCCAATGTAACATAGGGAGTTGATTTCTCCCTAATTTTTTTAGATGTAGACTTTTTAAAGAACCATAAGCTCTTTACTACTCAACATCTTCCAGAGTTAGAGGAACCAATCATCAACCTCTTTCCTTCTCCTTTAGCTTTATGTTTTAAATTAGGGGCCTTAATATGCAATTTCTAGTAATCTTCTTTGGTGTGGCTGGCCTTATTGTAATGACCATACCACTTACCAAGTTTCTTATTCCTTATGTCTCCTTGAATGGATTCCAAAGGTTAGTAAAGGCAGAAGCTTCATAAGAGTTTGATGGTTGTCCTGATTGGCCTGGGATCAATGCTTTTCTAATTTCTTCAAAGTTGACCATATTGAAGGCATCTTCCAATAAGGGAAGTGGCTTTAGACTCATGACACATGCTTTAACTTCCTCAAATGAGTCATCCAAGTCAAAAAAGAATTCATAACACCTCTTCATGTCAATAAGTTATTTATAATGAATTCTATCCTGATTATAAGTCCATTCGTGCACCTCATATAGATCGGTTAGTTTCCATAATCTCATAAGAGCATTACAATATTGAGTAACAGATTGCTCCCCCTTAAGCAAGCCTCGAAGTGAATATTTTACTTGGAATATGGCAATACTATTTTCTTTTACTGAATGGGTGCGCTTAGCTATGTTCCAAATCTCTTTTGCAATAGTTGCAAGGAGATAACTCTCATTGATTTCCACTGCCATGGAGTTTGAACCATATCATCACCAAGTTGTTATTTATGCACTATAGCTCAAACTAGGGAGATTTAGGAGAGGGTGGAGTAGGATTACCCATGAGTTATCTCTCCTTGCTCTTTCCAACATCAAGACATTTTGGGACCATTAGAGGCCATTGTTGTTGTTGAGATGGGAAGTGATCATCGCATGAGACATGTTTTTTGGCATGGCTGCGTACATTCTAGATGTCTTGTATGCCTATGCTAGAATTCTTTTCAGTTTTGAGTATTTCCACTCTTTTTGAGCTTTCTCTAGTCAATAATGAACGATTGTCTCCATCATCCATAGTGTAAACTCGTAGTTGGTTATTTAGAGCTGCTTGATAAGACATACAGCCAAACCTGCCTCGAATACCACAAAAATAATTTGAGTGGTGACAGCTCTATATTATTTCTGAATGAGAGAGGTTACATATATAGGAGAATTACAAACTTAGGGAATCAACCCATATCTCGTAATTCTCTCCTAGAATTAGGGAGATAATAACTTTAAATAAGATGCTTGATATGATATGATAATGCTAGACCAAGTAAATAAGAAAATTAGAATTTTAGTTAGCGAGCCCATTAGGCCTACTTCCAACACCAATATTTTTGGTAAAATTATACGTTTAATCTTCTAATTTTATATTGGTTCATTAATATTATAAACTATTTCTCAAGTCTTTTAATTCCAATAATGCTAGTCTAAATAATAGTTTTTTGTTCCACGAATTATTACTTGTAAAGTCAAATTTAATATATTAGTATTTGAGAATTTTTTTAAACATTTGAAATTTTAATATTAACATCTTTGATAAATAATATTAGGATTATATGAACAGAAAATACTCTAAAAAAATTAAAGAACCAGAACAAAATGTTACGTGAAATTAAATGGTTAAAAGTATATTTTTGTTCATATTTTTATTATCAATGCTAAATTTAAAAAACTCCCTATTCATGAAATTTAAATGATTAAAAAAGTATTAGTTTGTTGCTACGTAAAATTTTTATTTTAGATCAACATTGTCAAGACATGCCTCTAGTGTAATATCCTACTTTTTACTTATAAGGATTAGAGTGTTTAAGCTTTAAATTTGTGTGAAAATTAAATGTTATTTTTGTTAGTTAAGATTAATTGGGGATTATAGGACTAAGGATATGATAACTTAAAGTTATTTTTTGTAGCTTTTGGAGTAGTCTAAGGATTTGAGAATTTTAAAAGGCGAAATGATAATATTTTTCAATGATTTTTTATTTGAAAGCAGACATACCAGTCTTTCCAACTAATTCTAATTTACAAATTTTGAGAACGTATGAAATTAATTATGAATTTTTGAGCTTAGCCTCCTTCATGCCTATAAAATTTTAGATATTTACCCAAAAAAAATCATTTTCAAGGGTCAAATGACATTATTTTTATAGTAATTCTTTTAGCATTAGAAACTAGACATATTAAGCTTTCTAACAAGATCTAATATATGATTTCTAGAGATTTGTGAAATTAAGTATGAATTTTGAATTTGGGTTCCCCTTGTTGTGTCATTGGCCGTGTGATAACCTCTTGGGATTGCTACTAATTTTGCTTGTTTTAACACTCTTTTGTGGTTTTTGGAAGCTAATTATGCTGGCTTACTCCCTCAAAGCTAGCAAATATGATTTGAAAATGTGAAGCTTGATTTGTGCTAACATTTAGGGATTATTTGTGCAATAGGAAGTAGCGAGAGCAGGAAGATGAATGACAATAAGAAATATTCAACCTATTTTGGTTGTTTAGAGGAAGATCAAGGATGCAAGTGAGCAAGGAATGAAGAACCAAATGAAGAAGGCCAACATTGCATAATTTGCTGTGACCCCTGAAGCAACCTATCATGACCTCTGAAACAAAAAAAAAAGAAGGGAGATGCATTTTGTATAAGGCGCTGTAATGCCTAGCTAAATCTTTCACAGCACCTATTCCTTTTCAAGAAGCTTTAATTCCTCTCTGTTCAATCTACCACGATGGATGAGTTTATCCATTGTGGTGTCTGTCCCTATACGGTTATGCGTTTTGCATTATAACTTAAAATTTAGGGCATATAAAAGGGGAAACTCATGATTTCTTGGGAGAATATGACTTGGAGGTTGTTTAGAGGATTCTTTGCTAGGGTTAGGAGGTTTTGAAATTTGGGAGCTTTGGGCTTGAAGTTTGAAAGAGATTTAGAGCCTTACTCCTCATTTCTCTTGGTTTTCTTCTTCTCTTCTCCTTTATTTTTGTAATAGCTGCAAAACACTCTTGTATTTAAGGCTCTTTGTTGAACATGAGTAGCTAGATTAGTTATTCTAGGATTATTTTGATCTCACTAGTACAAAATACCAATATAACTACTATTTTTGGTGTCAGTTATATAAGAAACATAAGTTTTATGTTATTTAAATGCTTTTGGCTTCTGGTCTCCTTAATTAGACCTGATGCTATAAAGGGTACTTATGGCTTCCGTTCAATTTTGAACAGAAGCCATAAGTATTCAAAATAATTTTATTTTATTTTTTGATAAAACATAATAGCATTATGGAATCAACACAATATTACTTTACTTATATTTTTATTTAATTCATGTCATTAAAAACTTTAAATTTTTTTGATTTGAAAAAATTTAGTTTTGATTGGTCTTTTAATTTTTTTTCTTTTCACAAAGTGAAAAATTTTATGAGAAATTTGTTTTTATAACTTATTAATTAAAAGCTTGATTTTTTTAAATTAAAAAAATATCAACCTGTAGCATCTGGTCCATAAGGGACCAGCCACCGTAGCATAGCCATAGTTACAGTGTTAGGCCCAAGTTAGGCCTATCGCCATAGGTGTTGAACTTTTCACCATAAGACTCTTAATTAACAATTCGACATTTTAACATCAGGCGTGCCCTAGCTCTACCCCCTTCTTGCTATCAAGCTCTGTTATCTGTTCTTCTTGTTCTAAGTTCATGGGTGTTCTCCATTGGTTGTCTTTGAAATTGTCTTCCCTCATTCTCACCATCCTCTTGTTCTGTCTTCTAATTGGTTCTTGTGTCTCACCAGAATCTTCTTCCGTTGGTCTCGTGTTCCTCTTATTCTATCTTGGAGCTAATTTGTGGGTTTCCATTGGGTCTCGCCAAAATCCTCTTCCCTTAGTTTCTCCTCCCTCTTGCCTTTGTATTGTTCTATTTTCGAGCTGGTCTATGGGTCTCTGATGGGTCTCGCCTTCTTCTTCGTTCTGCTCTCTTCCTTATCGACAGCAATTGGTTTCAAGCTTCAGTCCTGTAAGTTTTTTGCTTTTGCTAATCATTTTGGATTCTTGCTGTAACTTAAAATAGTTTATCAGTTGAGGAATATAGATTGTTCTGTTGAAATTTGTTTCTTTTTTTTTTTTAAATCTTATGTTGAAGTGCGGCAAGTCACTACAATATTTTTTGCCTCTCGTACCAATTAATTTAACAAATAACAATTTTTTTCAAATGCAATTATTTAAGAAGATGGAAATATGATGCAAAAATGGAGTTGTCGTAATGAAAAAATGTATATGTAACTGTTGTTGCTGTTCGAATGGATAACAAGTTGTGCGCGTAAGGTTTGAATCTAGAAGTTCCATATTTGAAGTTGAAAAGAGCAATATATTATGATTGAATTAATGATTAATTATATTAGAGCATCAAATTAAAGTGATGAAGACTAATGTATGTGGGTGCGTTGATAAGCCTGCAATGAATTAAGAAAGCCACTGATCAAGAGGAGTGCCCATAAATCATGGTAACTCTGTCCTTCCTCTCAATGACCATTTAGATTTTAGAGAATGAAATGACAACAACAATACTATTAATTTTTTTAATTAAATCATTGATGATGATGATGATGATGATGATTATATGCGATTTTATTGACTGTTTCTTCTTATTAAGTTTCCTTCCTTGACTTGAAGCCTGTCAAGTTGAGCATTGAGGAGCAACCTTGGTGGCTGTGACACATTATGTTTCTTTTTATTAGGTTTCTTTCCTTGACTTAAAGCATGTATTTTATTAACTGTTTATTCTTATTAAGTTTCCTTGACTTGTAGATCCGATTGTAAACATTTTCTTTTGCTTGTGTGATCCTCTGGAAATCACTATAGGCTGGTAATTTGTGTCTGATTATGTAAATATGTTGCTTAAGTTGAATTTTCCCTTTCAGTGTCCTTCTTTTCATATCTGATTCTGTTATCGATTAGGTTAAATTAATACTTTGCTTCTTATGATAAAATTGTTTGATTCCTTTCAAGAGTTAATGTGCATATTGTCTATCTGATATACTGAGATAATCAATAATTGCAACCTTAAGAATTACCATATTACTTTGTACCAGTTGGCAACAACTCTTGATTCAATATTACATTGAATATTGCTAGTTCTTGAACGATCACATAATAGTATTCAAGCTGGCTTCTAATCTTATCATTAATTAATGATCTTTGGGGAAAAAAAAGCTGGAAGCCTATTCTCATTATCCTAATGGTTTATTATTTTCCTTTTCTATGATGTTGAAGGATCCACTACTGCAAAACTTGAGAAATCTGCAGGGCAAGTTGAGAAGTCTTTAAAAAGGAGGAGGAAGAATCAATACAGGGGAATCCGCTAATGTCCATATGGTAAGCATTAAATAAAGGTTGGTTTGAGGCTTTACTTGTTTTGTTAGAGGAAATTTAGTAGAATTTGCTTTCTGGTTGAGAGCTCTGTAAATACTTAAAGGATCAAACAAGAGCATTGATATTCCTTTTCCTTTTTTTTATTGTTGTTGATACTATTGATACCATGTCAACTTTATATCTAATACTTGGTGTTTTTCCTCCCTTTTTAGTAACAATTAAGAAAAGCTTCATTGTCAAGAGATGATGCATTTGCCTTTCTGGAAGGTGACAACTATGATGATTTTATGACATTTTATAGTTTCTCTAATGCACTTCATCAAGTACTTTATTATCTTTTTGATAAATGAATATGTAATATTCTTTAGTTTGGAAAAACAAAACAAAGATGTAGTATACTAGTATTCCTATGCGATATTGCAGGCGAAGTTGATTGGTGTGTCTCGTGGATTATGCTTCCAAGGGTTAAAGGATCTCTGGGCTGAAGCAATGCTCTTCCCCATGAAGTGAAGAAAAGCTTGTGGCTAGATGACTATTCTCTTTAGTATATGGCGTTTAGTTAACCATTTATTTGGTTTATTTGGTTTGACTGTACGTATTTGCTATGCACTTGGTTGTATTTAATATTATATAAAGCTGGTTGTGTATAATAGCAGGTTCTTGAGTGGGAGGTTAATGTTCAATTTTTTTTCAAAAAAAAAAAAAAGCCACCTACAGCTTTTGTTATAACCATAACAGAAGCCCTAAGTGGGTACCTATGGCTTTAGTTGCTTTTAGAACAGTCACCATAAGTGCTAAACCATATGGCTTCTATTCTTTCATAACAGAAGCTATAGCTGATACCTTTCACTACTGTTGTTTCCACTACAGTGTATATACAGTGGCGAAAAGCTATTTTTAACAGAAGTCAAATGTGTTATTTTGTACTAGTGTCTATTATATGATTAAGATTTGTTTTAACTCTCTCTTTGGTGTCAATGATAATGTTTTCTTATTTTTACCTTGAGCTTAGTACTTCCTTGTAATTGACCACTACTTTAAACTTCGGTAAAAGCATGCTAGACTGAACGTTTATCTATTAAATGGATGGTTTGTTGATAGAATAGAGATATATCGATTGACCTAACATTGTCCAAAAAAGGTTTTGGTTTTCATATTGTAATTTTTTTAATAAAACCAAGATATAATGAAGGTTTGTTAAGATTACAAAACCTGATTTTGACTTAAGAAGCTTAATCAACATTTGTGAACCTTAGACTAACACATCTTATCATTGAAACACTAAATAAGAAGTTTCTAATCAAATTTTATAAAGTATAATAGTGAGAGATAATCCTAGATCTTATTTGTCTCAAAGTCAAGTTTTTAACTTCGATTTTAATTTTTGTTTGCAAAAATGCTTTTCTTAACAGCCTCATTTACCAATTAATTTCACTTAACATAATCTTGAGTAAAATTGTGATTTTCAACTTGTCTAGCCTTAGTCTTTGAGGGAATAATACTTTTATATTATTTGCAACCTATGCGCTTGCGGTTAAGCTAAGTAGTTAACACCATGGTGAACTACACTATCAGCCGTGGTGAAAGTTACAAAACCACTATCTCAAATGCAATTTTCAACTATAAAATATATGTTTTGAGGAGGAGTTTATAGTGGGTGGTCTTGGCTTTGCCAAGGCTTAATATTCCTGACCTCTAGGAGTGTTTTTGAGCTTCCAAACATCAAAGTAAGTGTTTCTGACTTGATTTCTCTATATTCTTCTCAATTTTTCATATTTGGGGAGTTTGGGATTTTAGGGTTCATTGAGATTTTAAATCCTCTAAGGTTTTGACCGAACCTTTTGGGCTAATTAAATATAGTTATTAGGTTAGATAAGATGTTTAATTAGTTTAGTTTTGTTGGATTCGGGTATATAGATGATTTTAAGGTGAGGGTTTATCATTGGAACAGGAATTTGGTAGGATTTGATAATAAGATTATTCAAATGGTATTTTAATAATGGGGTTTTTTTATTGGAGCTAGATAAGAGTTTTAATTGGTTTAAATTGTTGATATTGGTTGATTTACAAGATTGGGTATGTTAGAGGTGATATGTAACATCCCCAATTTTAGTCATAGAAGTGTAAGAAATACCTTGAGATGGGCAAGCTACCAGACGCCATTTCACAAGAGTTCCAAAAGTTTCCTAGAAGAAAGACGGGATTCCCAGAGACTAAAGTGCAAAGTAAGAGTTTTCTAAAACCAAGAAACAAGGATGATAGAGATTCCAATAAAGTCACAGGAGCTAATATGATAAATAAGGGTGAATAAGGGCCAAAGATTATGATAGAGACCTCAATTAAATAGTTCCTAGGGCTAAACCATAGCAGGGACCTCATTGTAACTTTGAAAAGTTTCGGCCCAAAAAGGGTAATTAAGGAAAGTATGCCTGAAAATTCTACAAAAATCTTCAAAAATAAAAATGACGTATAAAGGCCTATTTAAGGTTAAAAATCATGAAAAAACCCCTAGAATGAATTTTAAGAAATTTTTAGTAAATCAGCTAATTATGGAAATTTTGGCTAATTAAGACAAATTTATCAAAATTGATTATTTAAAATATGTGGAGGCCTCAAATAATTAGACAGAAATGGGAAATAATTATTTAAGAAATTATGTAAAATTATAAAATTATCCCGGACCCTTGAAAGAAAGAGGTTGGCTTTAGAATAATCCATAGCCGAATCTTACAATAAGGGAGTATTCAGGAAAAGTTAAAATAGACCGCTTATAAGTTAAAGTTTGACTTGAAGAAAATCATAGAAATTTCTTGTGATAAAAAGAAGTTAATGGTACCTAAAGATGGATTTTTTGGAGTTATGGATTGATAAAAAGAATTTAGTCAAATTTACTTCAAAATAAATATTATTAAATGTTTAATAGAGAGACAATGAGAAAAGCATCTCTCTCTCTATGTACATGCATATATATATAAAAAGTCATGTAAAGTTAATTGTGATGAAAAATGAATGCTAGAACATGTTATCGGGTAAGTCAGGACTTGAAAAAGTACCTGATATAGAGTAAAATTGTAAACTAGGTGAAGGAATAGTTAAGGGTGAAAGGGAGCACAAATTTCTCTCTACTTTCCTCCCAATTTTAATGGTAATTTGATGAGGGGACATAGAAGAAATTATACAATTTGTTAAGGGAAAAATTGAAAAGGAATTACCTTGGATTTCAAACTATTCTTCAATTTGATTAAGAACACACGGCATGGAATACATAGTTATGGTAAATAGTGAAGATAACTTGTATTAAACCAAGTAAATGATAACTAGAGCCTTATAAATACCCCTTTCTCCCTTCTATTTATGTGTTTGGATAGCCAAGAGAGGAAGAGTAATGAATTGATTAAGCTATGGGAAAGATTGATTGATGATAGAATCATGTTTAAAAGTCAGAAAAGAGTAAGAATCAAGTGGTTTTGTAATAAAATTGGAAAGAATCCAACTTCCCCTTAACCTTTGTGTATTTTTGGCTAGACCTAGTTAGTGTGTATGTTAGGGTTGGAAATTTAATGATTTTGATGCTTTCAATGTGTTTAGAATGAAAAATTATGTGTGATAAAGATAAAAATAACAGTATAAGTAAAAAGACTTGATAAAAGGCATAGTAAGAGAAACTTGAAACACCATAGTAGAGTAAAAAACCACGAAATAAGTACACTATCAAGGCACTATCCAAGTAAATTTGCCTAAATAGTAGAAAGAATGCAATAAGTAAAGATAAAATGCTTAAAAGAAAAGGAAATGCCAGAAAGCATGTAACGATATGACAAATTAGTACAAATCTAGGATTAGAACCAGACTCTGATACCAAAATGAAATAGCCTTCAATTTACCTCTTTAAGTATGCATCCGATAGTGTTATGGTCCAAACAGGTCACAAAATAAGCCCGTAGATTGAAAATTTGAAATTTGTTTCTCGGGTTACTATTTACTGGTATATTCTAGATTTTAGTTCAATTTTGAAAATTCATAACTAATTATAAAAATATCGTATTAAGGTGATTTAAGTTTCTATTTAAATTTCTTTCAATTCTCTAAAGGGAAAAAACACACATCTAGCTTAAACCTTCTTAATTCATACAATGGAATTTAGCAAATTAACTGTACAAATTGAGAAGGTTTAAGCCTAGATTTATGTTTTATGGAAAATCTAGCAAATTAACTGTATGAAAGAGCTTTAAATGAAGACTTAAATTACCTTAATATAATTTTTCTATAATTGGTTATGAATTTTCAAAGTTGGAACAAAAATTTAGAATTTACCAGTGAATAGTAACTTGAGAATCAAATTTTAAATTTTTAATCTATGGGCTTATTTCGTGATCTGGTTGGAGTATAATGCTCCAAGACACATACTAAAGGGGGTAAATGAAAGGATGTTTTGTGATCCCAATGTGAAATTGAGAATTATTATGGATAATGGATGTAAGGTTGTCTTTGGGATGGAATTGTTAAGGAAACAATACTTTGACCTTGGATAGGGGATTTGGGTATAATTTAAGAGAAGGTTATTGAGGTTGTAAGATGTTATTGTGTGGTTTGATTTTGTTTCTTTGTTTGAAATCTTACTTATGTTATGTTTGATTGCAATCTACATTGTGGTGTATATTAGCTTATGCTTAAGTTTTGTGAAGCGGTATACCCTGTGGATCAAGCTTATGCATCTAAGCCTAGATTGAGATAATTAGAGTTAATTTACCTTATGTGCTTGACATGAATTGTAAAGTTTAATTAACCTTACTATTTAACTACTTTATAGAAATATGTTTTGAATAAAATATGTACTTTCTTTATATCTCAAACCTTGATGAAGTGAGAAGTATATTTACGCCACTATATACACTTGTGTTAGTATAGAATTGCGTCATGTTATGATTGAGGTGGTTATATGTGATGAATGATGTGGTTTATGTGCTAGTTTATGTTGATTATTTTATTATAAGATTATTATATTGCATTCATGCTTGGGGTTCATATGTGGAGATTGGGGTTTGTTATATGGAGGATAACTGTTCTTGAAGCATGTGGGACATGCTTACATTACCTATCATAGTGTTTAGCCCTTGTTAGACCCATGTAATTCTCTTTGTTCCCCAACTTGGACTTCAATTAAGCTCTTGGGTAGACACCTTTCTAGCCTTGGTGGAACCACAAGGAAGGGGGAACTGTTGAACCAAAGTGAGTAGGGTGACCGTTCACCAAGATGCTCAACATAGATAGTTTAGGTCCATGTTATTAAGTCATGAGGAGGAGTATGGTGGATGGGAGGGCATAACTATTATGCTGATTATTGCATCTATGTTTTCATTTTTATAACCTAAAATATTTTATGTATGGCATTACCTCATCAGCTTACTATTGTGATTGCATATTTTGTGAGCTGATTATCAGTTACTAGGATTTAATGTCTTACCTTGTTGTTTCCAAGAGAGCTTTCTAGTTC